CCAGAAAACTAAATATGGAATTACCATATGATCCAGCAATCCCACATCTAGGAAGACATCTCAAAGAATGGAAAGCAGGGTCTCCAAGAGTTATCATCTGTACACCTATGTTCACAGCAGCATTATTCGCAATAGCCCCAAAATGAAAGCAACCCCAGTGTTTATGGATGGATGGACAGGTGGGTGGATGGATGGATGGATGGAAGGATGGGTGGACGGGTGGGTGGGTGAATAAGCGGGTGAGTGGATGGATGGATGGAAGGATGGGTGGATGGGTGGGTGGGTGAATAAGCGGGTGGGTGGATGAATGGATGGAAGGATGGGTTGGGTGGATGGGTGATAGATGGGTGGATGGGTAGGTGGGTGATTAAATGGGTAGATGGGTGGGTGGATGGATGGGTAGATGGGTGGATGAATGAGTGGATGGGTGGGTGGATGGATGGGTGGATATATGGATGGATGGATAGATGGATGGATGGATGGATGGGCAGATGGATAGATGGACAAAATGTGATCTATCCATACAATAGAATATTATTCAGCCTTAAAAAGTAAGAAAATTCTGACACATTCTACAACATGGATAAACCTGGAGGACATTATGCCCAATGAAATACTCTAGACACAAAAGGGTTAACACTGTATATTTCTACTTATATGAGGTCCCTAGAGTCATCAGATTCATATAGACAGAAAGTAGAATGGTAGATGCCAGGGGCTGGGGGATAGGGTATGGGGAGTGAGTGTTTCATGGGGAAAGAGTTTCAGTTTGCAGTGATAAAGTTCTGGAGATCAGCTGGGCGTGGTGGCTTATACCTGTAATCCTGGCACTTTGGGAGTCTGATGGGGGCTGACCACTTGAGTTCAGGAGTTCGAGACTAGCCTAGCCAACATGGCAAAACCCTGTCTCTACTACAAATACAAAAATTAGCCAGGCGTGGTGGTGCATGCCTGTAATCCCAGCTACTTGGGAGGCTGAGGCAGGAGAATCGCTTGAATCCGGGAGGTGGAGGTTGCAGTGAGAAGAGATCTTACCACTGCACGCCAGCCTAGGCAACAGAGCAAGACTTTGTCTCAAAACAAACAAAAACAAGTTCTAGAGATGGATGGTGGTGATGGTCACACAACAATGTGAATGTACTTAATGCCACTGAACTGGATGCTTTAAAATGGTTAAAATTGTCAATTTTATGTTATGTATATTTTATCACCATTAAAAGAGAGAGAAACGGCAAAATGCAACACACAGACATCCTTGATTCAAAAAAAGAATCAACTGTAAAAAGACGAGCAAGGAAATCTGAATGTGGACTGGAAATTAGATATAAAACCCATGATGAATGTTCTCAGTGTGATATTGCTAAGATGTGTCTGTGTGCTTTAGAGATGTCGTCTGAAGTTTGCAAAAATCACATGAGGTCACGGATTTACTTTTAAATATTCAGAAAGAGGATATGGATTTCTCATGCACGTCTGGCACAATCCTGATAATAATTCAATTGCAGTGGGTATGGACGTTTCACCGAGCTCTTCTTCCTACTTTGAGCGTATTAGAACACTTTCAGAGTAAAAAAGCTCTTACAGAACACAGTATTTAAAAAGTGAAGGCAAACTTCTAAAACATGAGGGCAAAAGCATGTTGTACTAATAAATCAAACTCTTAAAGCCATTTGAAAGTATGATATATCTCGACATTTCATCCTTTTCATGTTATTTTTATATGTATTTTAAAGTACATTTAACACATTTAGCAAAATACTTTCATAAATTACACATAAATAAATGCGTATGCTGTGGGTATGCATTTCAGCTATGGGTGTGCTGAGTAATTGTTTTGCTGGTTGGGTAGTTCAGAAGTTTGGAGATCATGGCTATAAGGACACCTTGGGCCAGGCATGGCGACTCATGCCTGTCATCCCAGCAATTTGGGGGGCCAAGGCAAGAGGGTCACTTGAGCCCATGAGTTTGAGACCAACCTGAGCAAGAGCCCAACGCTACAAAGACAAAAAATTTTTTTAACTAGCTGGTCATGGTGTGGTGCACCTGTAGTCCCAGCTACTTGCGAGGCTGAGGTGGGAGGCTCGTTTGAACCCAGGAGGTCAAGGCTGCAGTGAGCCATGGTAGAGCCACTGCACTCCAGCCTGGGTGACAGAGCAAGACCTTGCCTCCAAAATTAATTAATTAATTAAAATTTATAGAACTGAAGCTGGGCGTAGTAGCACAAGCTTGTAATCCCAGCACTTTGGGAGGCCGAGGCGGATGGATCACCTGAGGTCAGGAGTTCAAGATTAGCCTCTACTAAACCCTGTCTCTACTAAAAATAAAAATAATTAGTCAGACATGGTGGCACATGCCTGTAATCCCAACTACTCAGGAGGTTGAGGCAGGAGAATTGCTGGAACCTGGGAGGCGAAGATTGCAGTGAGCCGAGATCACGCCACTGCACTCTAGCCTGGAGGACAAGAGGAAAACTCTGTCTCAAAAAAAAAAAAAAAGAAAGAAAGAGAAAAGAAAAGAACAGGAAACGAGGGATAGTGGAAATACATGGAGACTAAAGAGGGAAGGAAGAGGAGAGTCGTCGAGAGAGAAAGGGTAAGTTCTGGAGAGGGCGGAATAGAGAAGTGGTGCCTAGCGCCGACGGGAAGGGAATGGTGCACCCTGGCCAGTTACGGGATGATGGATGAGTGGATGGATAGACTGGTATATAAAAGGATAGGTGGGTGGATGGACTGAAGCACGGAAGAACGGAAGAATGGGCGAGTGGGAGAGTGGGTTGGATGATGGATGGAGGTGGGGACAGGTGGGTGAATGCGAAAGTGGTTGGATGGCTGGAAAATGGATGGATGAGAGAATGAATAGGGAGATGGATGAATGGATTGATGGATAGAAAGATGGATGGATGATAGATGGGCGGATGGATGATGGGCGGATGGATGATGGGCGGACGGACAGATGGATGATGGACGGATGGATGATGGACGGATGGATGATGGACGGACGGACGGATGACGGACGGATGGATGGATGGATGCACAAAAGTTTGGATGAGTGGGTGGTGGGAGGCTGAGTGGATGGAGAGGAGGGAAAGCTAAGAGGAGCCCAGCACTGTGGAGGGTGGAGGGGAGGTCACCACGTTGCCTTCCTAAACGATGCTCAAACTTGCCAGCAGATGTCAGACTAGCCTCAGGAAACCACCTCGGGGCCAAGCTTGCACCACCCTGAGCCCCATCCGGAAGCTGATTCAAACTGAGCAACGGCTCATTTTAATAAAACAGTTTTCATTGCACCGCGTATTTACACACCCCCTCACCAGCATCCTCTCAACCCAAATGGCAGTTATAACCCCACTTCCCCTCCTGCAATGGAAAAATGGGGGCGTGGTGGGCGTCTGGTGAAGTGTGCTTTCCACAGGGTGGAGTCCACATCATGGAGAGGGTAAGAGAGTCAATGTTGGGATCCCCTAAATTGATTAGTGTCCACATCAGCCTCAGCTCCAATCAACCTAATATTTATATTCTCATCCCAGGCTCCTGAGATCTGCTCAAGAATCCACCCTAGGTCTCCGCCTTTGCAAAAAAGAAAAAAAAAAAAAGAAAGAAAAAAAAAAAAGTTCTTGAGGAAAGGGAAAGGAATGGGGAAAGAAAGGAAGGGAGAGGGGAGAAGGGAGAGAGGGGAG